CACAAATATTCAAATTCTTACCTATTTCAATCAAATCTCTCAACATCTCGTCTCGCGCCGATGTCGATTGAGTATTTTGATGAACAAAGTACAAGACTGAATCTATGTCAACGAAAAAAAAAATTCCCACATTATAAGTTATATTTTTAGCTAATTTCGTAATTGCCTCAAAAGTTGTTAATACTAATTCGGTACTATTTTTTGGTTTTTTAAGAATTTCTACGACGTCCGGTTGATCAAGCCGAACATTCACAGAATTATCTTGTTCATCTAATATTGTTTTAGTTTGTGCTCTAGTCATAACAGCAATTATTTTCCCGTACATGCCTTTTAGTTCTTCAGACGTTATTACTATTCTCGATAAAGCATCGGCGGTAACATTCTCACATCCTTTCACATACTCAACGTGAAAATCATACTCTTCTAATCCTAGGCGGAATTTTGTTAAACGGCTAGAAGGGTCTGTAAGGTTGAAAAGGTAAAGAAGTGGTTTATGGTCTGTCCGTATATTAGAGTGGCGTCCATATAAATATGGACGAAAATGTCGTACTGCCCAAAATATTGCTAAGAGTTCTTTTTCTATCGTAGGATAGCTGGTTTCGGCTTTGTTTAAACTTCTACTCGCATATGCAATTGGTTTGTTATTTTTATTAGAAAGAACTGCACCAATAGATTGAATTGAATTGAAGCGTCTGTTTGAAGTATACACTCATTTTCATGCGAAAAGTCAGGGTAGTCCAGAACTGGGGGTCCGCTCAGTGCATTTTTGAGGAAATTGAAGGAACTTTCACACTCTTTTGTCCATTCGAATGTAGCGTATTTTCTACATAATTTGTTTAAGGGGACTGTTTTTTCAGCAAAATTTGGAATGAATTTTCTGTAATAATTTGCGAATGCTACGAATCTTTTAATTTCATCTGAATTTTTTGGAACTGGATAATTTTTTAGAGCCTTTACTTTATCTGGGTCTGGCAGAATACCTCCAGAGGAGATAATATGGCCCAAATACAAAATTTGTTTTGTTAGAAAGATTTTTACAGGTAATGACCAACGTGAATACAGGGACACTTCGGTCCCTGTTTGGGAATCGGCCCACTGAGCAGTGGACTCAGGCTTCCCGTGCCAATCCTTGACGCGTTTCGTCCTTGTTAGGACTCATCAGAAGGACATAGGCTGAAGCTCCCTGTCCAAGCAAAATTGAACTTCGTTGACCAGTCAGAAACAACTACTCCGAGGGCAAATACCCCTACCGGCGTTGAACTACACTGATTTGTCTGAGCTTTCGTTGGCAATAGAAATTGTTAGAAAGATTTTTACAGGTAATGACCAACGTGAATACAGGGACACTTCGGTCCCTGTTTGGGAATCGGCCCACTGAGCAGTGGACTCAGGCTTCCCGTGCCAATCCTTGACGCGTTTCGTCCTTGTTAGGACTCATCAGAAGCCTGAGTCCACTGCTCAGTGGGCCGATTCCCAAACAGGGACCGAAGTGTCCCTGTATTCACGTTGGTCATTACCTGTAAAAATCTTTCTAACAATTTCTATTGCCAACGAAAGCTCAGACCAATCAGTGTAGTTCAACGCCGGTAGGGGTATTTGCCCTCGGAGTAGTTGTTTCTGACTGGTCAGCGAAGTTCAATTTTGCTTGGACAGGGAGCTTCAGCCTATGTCCTTCTGATGAGTCCTAACAAGGACGAAACGCGTCAAGGATTGGCACGGGAAGCCTGAGTCCACTGCTCAGTGGGCCGATTCCCAAACAGGGACCGAAGTGTCCCTGTATTCACGTTGGTCATTACCTGTAAAAATCTTTCTAACAATTTCTATTGCCAACGAAAGCTCAGACCAATCAGTGTAGTTCAACGCCGGTAGGGGTATTTGCCCTCGGAGTAGTTGTTTCTGACTGGTCAACGAAGTTCAATTTTGCTTGGACAGGGAGCTTCAGCCTATGTCCTTCTGATGAGTCCTAACAAGGACGAAACGCGTCAAGGATTGGCACGGGAAGCCTGAGTCCACTGCTCAGTGGGCCGATTCCCAAACAGGGACCGAAGTGTCCCTGTATTCACGTTGGTCATTACCTGTAAAAATCTTTCTAACAATTTCTATTGCCAACGAAAGCTCAGACCAATCAGTGTAGTTCAACGCCGGTAGGGGTATTTGCCCTCGGAGTAGTTGTTTCTGACTGGTCAACGAAGTTCAATTTTGCTTGGACAGGGAGCTTCAGCCTATGTCCTTCTGATGAGTCCTAACATGGACGAAACGCGTCAAGGATTGGCGTGGGAAGCCTGAGTCCACTGCTCAGTGGGCCGATTCCCAAACAGGGACCGAAGTGTCCCTGTATTCACGTTGGTCATTACCTGTAAAAATCTTTCTAACAATTTCTATTGCCAACGAAAGCTCAGACCAATCAGTGTAGTTCAACGCCGGTAGGGGTATTTGCCCTCGGAGTAGTTGTTTCTGACTGGTCAACGAAGTTCAATTTTGCTTGGACAGGGAGCTTCAGCCTATGTCCTTCTGATGGGTCCTAACAAGGACGAAACGCGTCAAGGATTGGCACGGGAAGCCTGAGTCCACTGCTCAGTGGGCCGATTCCCAAACAGGGACCGAAGTGTCCCTGTATTCACGTTGGTCATTACCTGTAAAAATCTTTCTAACAATTTCTATTGCCAACGAAAGCTCAGACCAATCAGTGTAGTTCAACGCCGGTAGGGGTATTTGCCCTCGGAGTAGTTGTTTCTGACTGTTCAACGAAGTTCAATTTTGCTTGGACAGGGAGCTTCAGCCTATGTCCTTCTGATGAGTCCTAACAAGGACGAAACGCGTCAAGGATTGGCACGGGAAGCCTGAGTCCACTGCTAAGTGGGCCGATTCCCAAACAGGGACCGAAGTGTCCCTGTATTCACGTTGGTCATTACCTGTAAAAATCTTTCTAACAATTTCTATTGCCAACGAAAGCTCAGACCAATCAGTGTAGTTCAACGCCGGTAGGGGTATTTGCCCTCGGAGTAGTTGTTTCTGACTGGTCAACGAAGTTCAATTTTGCTTGGACAGGGAGCTTCAGCCAATGTCCTTCTGATGAGTCCTAACAAGGACGAAACGCGTCAAGGATTGGCACGGGAAGCCTGATTCCACTGCTCAGTGGGCCGATTCCCAAACAGGGACCGAAGTGTCCCTGTATTCACGTTGGTCATTACCTGTAAAAATCTTTCTAACAATTTCTATTGCCAACGAAAGCTCAGACCAATCAGTGTAGTTCAACGCCGGTAGGGGTATTTGCCCTCGGAGTAGTTGTTTCTGACTGGTCAACGAAGTTCAAAATTTGTTTTCTCAAAAACTCGCATTTTAGCGGATTCAATTTTAATTTCACTTCTCTAAGACGTGTAAAAATGCTTATGAAATTTTTGTTATGTTCTATAAGATTTCTACCGAAAACGATCAAGTCGTCCAGGACAAAACATTTGTCATAGTTTAGACCTGACATAGCTACAGTAATTAGTCTCGAAAACGCACTGGGACTAGTTTTTAAACCCATAGGCAATCTTTTCATTTGCCATTGCCCCCGGTCAGTGGTGAAAGCAGTATATTTTCTACTCTCCTTATCCAACTCTACTTGATAGTAGCCTTGACTTAGGTCTAAGCGAGAAAAATATATTGCTCCTGAAAGGGCGTCCAGAATATCAGTTACATTTGCTAATTTTTGAAATTTTATGTCTAGAAGCGATTTGTTGACTAATCTGTAGTCTATGACTTAACGTGATTTTTTTTCTCCACTGGCGTCTGTCTTTTTTGGAACTAGTAAGATTGGGGAGGACCATTCACTCTGCGCATGCTCTATTATACCATCATCATACATTTTAGAAATTCATCTATTTATTTCGTCTTTTTGAGAATGAGGAAGTCTGTAGGGCTTGACATAAGTAGGGAGGGAATTTTCTTTCAGAAGTATGGATTCTTTGTAAAGATTTGTGACGGATAATTTATCGTTAAGCATATGAAAAATGTCAGAAAATTTTGCACAAATGCTCATAATGGAGTTTTGTTCTTCGTTATTCAAATAATTATTAAGTTTTAATAGGTCAAATAAGTCTTTCACTCTTGCTACAGATACAGCAGTATCTTCAAACATACAGATATCATACTCACTAGATTTTTCTGTTCTGGGTAAACAGTTTTTTAGAAGCACGTCACTTTCTCGGGTATTTAGAATCTTTACGGGAATTTTTCCCTCTATTGGCCGAGCCAGTACACCAGCCATAAAAACTCCTTGACACAATTCTCTAGGAATTACCACACATTCTTCAGTCATTCCAGTAGGTAAGTAATAAGTAGATTCGCACCTTGAAGGTACTATTATTATGTTATTGTTCGGGGAATTTATTGGTAAACGAATTTCATTACCCGAAAAGTTTATGAGTGACAAAGTATTTTCTTCATAATTTATGATTCCACTAAATTTTCTTAGAAAAATTTCTCCTATAATGCCATTAGTTGAACATGTTAGAGCATCAAAAACATAAATTTTTTCTTCAAATGTTTCATGGCCTATTTTTAATTTTAAATAAACATATCCTTGTGAAACTAAAATTCCGCCAATGCCTTTAACTTCTAATTTATTTTCGTAAAATTTTGATTTATGGTTTAAAAATTCTGATTTAATTGCGCATAAAGAAGCGCCTGTGTCTATTAAAAATTTTAATTCATTATTTTCGACAGAGAAGGTAACTGAATTCGAATAATTATTTGAATGGGTGAAAATGTGTTTACTTAAATTTGAACAACTCTTTCCTTTAGGGACGAAAAAATGTATTAGAAAAATTGTCATTACTGAGTTCAGTATTTTCTCGTGCGTCTTGCACTTGACCTGGGTTAAGCACATCAGCAAAGTGCAAGTTATGTCTGTTGGTTCGCGAACCTCTCCTATTTCCGGAACCTCGGGTGAATGTACGTCCTCTGAAATTCCTAGAATTGTTGGGTCGGTAGTGTTCGCTATTATGATTCTTATTTTAATTAAAATTTCGCCTATCGTTATTTCGGTTGTAGGAATTTCTATTTGAAAAAGAGCCCCTTGTGAAGTTTCTCGAAAAATGTCCTCTTCCCCTTCTATTAAATGTGAAAACTTGGGAAGAATAATTATTATTGTTATTAAACGAATTGGTTTCTTCGTCTTGAGCTGCTCTTATAGCATCTTTCAAAAACGGAAAATTTCTGGCGGCAATTATTGTACTTAATCTTTGATCTCGGAGACCATCAGAAAATCTTTTTATCGCGATTTTTTCGTTAATAGGTTTTAATATTGTAAATGAATCATTATCACCATTAGCTTGGGATATGGTCAAATTAACGAAAAGTGACTCTAATTCTTTTCCAAAAGATTCGATAGACTTTTGGCCTTGCTTTGCACGAAATAATTTTGATTGAAGTGCCGTGTCAGATTGTATTGTAAGGAGGTGTCTTTTGATATCTACCAATAAATCAGCAACTGAATTGTAACTATCATTTAATCTCAGTTTTGCACTACTCGTTAAGCGTGTTTTAAGAACAAATTTTATTAATGCAGGTTTGTCCTCAGCTTTAAGCATGGATTCGTACAGTTCTATAGCATCGACTAATTTATTGGTAGTTTCCTCTGTATCATCAAGAATAGGCAGGAGACTCACAGCAGTTTTTAGATCGAATGAAGTCATTTTGTCGTTAGTTAAGTCTGCTTTGGTCTGGAATTCTAAAATTTCACTAGGGTATCCTGGCAGGATCGCCATGTAGTATTTCTCTGAAGTTTTACCCTTAAATCAAACTCTGTTCGACGTTCGCTTCATTATTTGTTTATTCAATCTTGTGTTAATTCTAAGTGTACAGGATATGAGTTCGTTGCCATCGAACTCGAAACTTAACAGCTAAGCAATATGGATATATTATGAAATATTCTAGTATAAGCATAACACATTGATACAATACTATACAGGGTGTACAGTACCACACTACACTGGAATCAGCGATGAACGAATTTTCGACAGGCTTTGTGAAGAAAATGAAGATGTAGCAATCAAGACCTTGGTGGAAATTGCAAGAAAACGTGAAAATATGGCGTCGAAACAGGAAGAAATCCATTTTACGTCAAGCAGAGGGCGTGCGAATCCAAATGCGAAATCGCAAGCACGTCGTGGTTATGGAAAATCGGCAAGTCACGGTGGACCCGCCCCTGGTAGAAGTTTTGACAGGCGTGGCCAATTTCCCCACCAAAGTCGATCGTCAACGTCAACAGCGAAAGTCTCCAATCAACGTCATCAACATCAACAACAACAAAGTAGCAGGTTATGTAGAGTTTGCGGGAAGCAACATTATGGTTTATGTATGTATTCTAATTATTTTTGTAATGGTTGTAAACAGAAAGGACACTTATCGAAGGTATGTAAAAAAAACAATAAAAAAATTAATTTTGTAATGGATGAGAAAGAAAATTTTAATGATGATGAAATTTATGAGGATAATAAGGTAAATATTTGGCATTTAACAAAAAGCGTAGGTGTAGGTAAAAACTCAAACCTTCCTCATAAAAAAAATGTGTCCAGTAATGTAAATGATATGTGTACAATTAATGTTAATAAAGGTCAAAATAGTAGCAGGTCATGGAAAGGGTTGATTACAAATGATTTTTTAGTAAATGTGATGATAAATAAACAAAGTATAACATTTCAACTCGATTCAGGGGCTTCAGTATCGGCAATTAGTGAAGGAGTTTATGAAGCAAAATTAAAAAATGAAAAATTGCGAAAGGATTCAGTAATTTTAAAGGCATATAACAATTCAATATTTAACCCACTATGATTTATTGAAGTTAATGTTAAATATGAGAGTAAAAATGCATTAATAAAATTTTATGTAGTGCCTAATGCTGAAATTGTATTCTAGGGCGAGATTGGATGGACGCATTCGACGTTGGGTTTGGATTGATTCCAGGGATCCCAGGATCTCACGATTTATCGTTTGATCTCACGATTCAGTACCAAGTCTCACGATCTCACGATAATGGATTCTAATCTCACGATATTTTTATAAACGCTGCTTGCCGCTTGCAGTATTTAAAATATCTTTCATAAAAACTTAACATTTATTTTCTAAGCAATTTTTTTCTCAAGCAAACAATTATTCGGATATTCCCGCAGCGTGGAGTCCGAGTCCGATACTGGAATGGAATGTACCATGGCGCCCCTATCGGCTTTCGGAATAACTAGATCTCTACGCTCCTTTTGCGCCGCGACGCGGAGTAATTTTCTGTAATCTGCCGCTTGCTCCTCATGCCGCTTGCTCCACAAAAAAAACGAAAGCTTTCCTATAATCAGAAGTATCGGAAGGAATGGGAAAGAGAGTTGAAGTGGCGGCTTACTGAAAGCAAAAAAGGGCCCACATTTCGATGGTTCGTTTTTTATTAGCAAGATAAAACCTATAACATTTAAATAAAAAAATATTATTGGGAATTGTCTGTATTGGCAAAAATTTGTATTTTATTATTTAGTAATAGTTAAATTATAAGGTCTGGACCGGTAATATTTTCTAACCAGAAAAATTTAAATCTTCCCAAAAATAATTTTAAACTCTTTTTCAAGGTGTAAAGCATGTAAATGTGATGTTGAAGTCACTCATTTAAGGATTGCAGGGTTCATTGCCGAAAACAACTTACCGTTCAAATTAATGGAACATTTTCCGGATCTATTACGTTCAACCTGTAGTGATTCTGCTATTGCAAAAAAAAATTCGGTGCGGCCCCACAAAAGTACGATCTATTATAACTAACGTTATGGGTGTATCGGGAAGGCAACGCATTGTTGAATTAATGAAAAATAATAAATTTAGCTTGATTGCAGATGAATCAACTGATCGCGCATGCATACAAAATTTGTCTTTAATCGTAACAATTAACTGCGAAAATGAAGATGTCAAAGATTACTTCTTAGCCTTAATTCCTGTTTAAGACGCTACTGGGGCAGCGTTGTTTGAGCACATCATAAGTTTTTTTAATAACTTCAATATCCCATATAAAAAGAATTGCATTGGTTTCGCTTCAGATGGAGCAAATAATACTATGGGTGCTCAAAATTCCGTGGTAAGAAGACTGAAAGAAGCCATTCCACATATTTTTATCATGAAATGCATCTGTCATAGTTTTCATCTATTCATGATTGTCATTCATGATTTGAGGTTATACTGTTGTAAACATGTGTAAATTGTGATGAGCGAATTAAATTTAAAAAAACGGTGTAAATTCTGCAAAAAGGAGGTGAAAGACTCTTTTGATTGTTCAGTTTGTCTATCATCATATCATAGGAGCTGTGGTTTGCAGTACAAAGTTCTAAATAAGGACAATATTACAATTTGTTGTGTTCAGGCAAACAGTGAGGTTAAAAATCCCAAGGAGAACATGGATAAATTGGATAAGCAGTCTTTGCTACGTGAAATGAAGTATTTGTTTTAAAGGGAATTTAAGAAATTTGAAGAAAAAATTGAAAAGCAGTACGCTAATGAAATGAAAGAACTGAAATCTACCATGAACTATATGTCTGAGAAGTTCGATCTGCAATATAAACACTACGAGGAATATATGAAACGAAATCAAGAAATTGAAAAAGAAAACAAGGATCTACAGAAGCGAGTACAGTTTCTGGAAAGCAAGCTTAACTCAAGAGAACAAACTGAGAAACAAAACAACATATTAGTCACTGGAATTTCAACTCAAGAAGACAGTACTGTTAAAGAAATCATAAATAAACTCTTTACTGGCATGCGACTGAAGCTTAACCAGGGGGATATCACTGAGTGCTACAGACTAAAAACTGAAGCAGAAATTAAGCCACTATTAATTAAATGTGAATCAGCGGAAGTGAAACAACAAATATATAAACAACGTAAATTAATTAAAAGTATTAATACTAAAGAATGTAAATTTTCAGAACCCAATAGGCAAATTTATCTAAATGATGAATTAACTAAAAGTAATAGTGAGCTATTTAAGGCGGCTCGTGAATTCAAGAAAACCAATAACTTTAAGTTTGCCTATGTTAGTAATGGTAGAATATTTATTAAAAAAATGATCAATGTTCACCTAAAAGAATATATACGCTGCAAGATCTCAACCCGAGAACAACTTATTAATGGATTATTTTCTATTTTCTTTTTAAATCTAAAAAATATCAATGAACTTAACTTGTTCTTGTTGTTTTAAAGAATTCTCGTTAAATTTAAAGATTTTATATAGTAATATACGCAGTCTAAGAAATAAACTGGAGGACATTGAAATAATGTTAAATTGCTATGAGGAGCCAGAAATACTAGTTTTTACAGAGAATTGGATATATGAAGGTGAGGCTAGATTATATAATTTGCAAAATTACAACATGGAACATAACTGTAGACCTACAAGAGGTGGAGGAGTATCTGTTTATATAAAAAACTATTTGAAATATGAAGTTGAAGTTAACAAATCAATTAATAACTGCGATTGGCTCATAATTAAATTATGTAATCCAAATATTAGAATAATAACTGTTTACAGGCCTCCATCGGTAAATTTTAACCTATTTTTAAATGATTTTGATAATCTACTCCTTGATTTAAAAGATCAAACTTTTATAATTGCTGATATGAATTTAAACTTATTGCAAGACTCTGACCAAAAAAATGACTATGAATCTTCAATAGCAGTAAACGGGTTTACACTTGTTAATCAAGCTAAACCTACTAGAGAATCCAACAATACACAAACACTTATTGACCATTCAATTAGTAATATTAAAAACTCTGACATGAGCTTAAACCTCTATGATAGTTGCCTAACAGATCATAAAATACAGTTAATAGATATGAAACAATTTAAAATTTTAAGAAAACCAAAAGAAAGACATAATATAACTTACATTATTAAAGAATCGTACTATTTAAAACTTGCTAACCTAATTACACAAAGTAATATAAACGATTTTCAGTCACTAATATGTGTAATACAAAATGCAAAAAAAGAGGCTACCACCACTAAAACAATTTATGATCGCAACAATGATTGGATAAATGGTCACTTTTTGAATCTGATAAAGCAGAGAGATAAAACTTACACAAAATTAAGAAATGAATTTAAATCTTTGAAAAATCAATGTAACAATTTAAAACACAAGCTTAAAAAAAACCTACATTTCTCGAAAGTTTGAAATTGCTCGTGGAAATAATAAGAAAAACATGGCAGGTTGTGAACAGCGTTATTTCGAATAATTATGCAAGGCATGATGAAACAAACCATATTGATCACCTATTAATTAATGGCAAAAAAATCGATGAAGATCAGCAGATAGCAAATAATTTGAACATCTACTTTAGAGACATAGGAAGTAATATTGGTAAAGAAGTTGTGCAACAAAGACAGCTTTACACACACATATATTTCGATGACGAATTTCCAGAAGAACACCAAGATCAGTCTATTTTTTTCTACCCATGTACTGGAGAAGAATTATCACAAATAATGGACAGTTTAAACAAAAATTCAGCTCCTGGACCAGATGGGATCACAACGACAGACATACAGGACTCAAAAGAGTTGCTAGTTCCTATTCTCGCTAATTTAATTAGTAAGATGATGTCAGATGGTCAGTATCCCGATTGTCTAAAGTTAGCCAAAACTATTCCGATTCACAAGTCTGGT